CACAGGAATAATTTTCATCCCATGGGAAAGCCTCACAAACCACCTTCCCTTCTCCCCACCACACTCTAACAAAAGTCATTCTGCTTATAGCCTTTATACAAAAGATGCTATTCCATTTCTTTTTTTCCATCATCAAGAAGCATAATCCAAAATTGGGTCATGCAGATTAAGAAGTGGACCTACACACAGATTAAAACTGAAACATAGTTATGCAGAGAGAGAGACAGAGAGAGAGAGAGAGAGAAAGAAAGAAAGAAAGAAAGAAAGAAAGAAAGAAAGAAAGAAAGAAAGAAAGAAAGAAAGAAAGAAAGAAAAAGAAAAGAAGAAAAAACCCTAGAAATTGAACCCACACAGCAGAACACACTCTAAACTGGCAGATCAAACACCGTAGACGAGATAGTGGGTCTCATTCTAGCCCAATAATATTCTGGGTTACCAGAGCTTCTGCAAAGACTTGGCCTTGTTGATATCATTGCACTGCAGATTCGCTCATCCTCTCCTACTGACTATAATGGCTGGGGTTAATGGAAGTGGATCTATGAACATCTGGAGAGCCAGATGCTGGCGGCTTCATATCCCTGTCAGTTGAGAGAGGGGACCCACAGTGATGAGATCTGCTTTCTGCATGTGCTCAGAGGCACCCATTTCTGATCTATCACCTTCTTCCATCAAAATAGGCTCACACAAAAATGGTTTTGCGCAGCTGACTACAGAAAAAGTAGTATCTTTTTGAGCTTCTCCAAAGCCAAAGGTTCCACCAGCACCAGTGTAGTAACACGGGATTGTCCCTCTTTCACAGGTACTACCGTTGCACATGCTAGGATCACCCTGAAGAAAAATCCCCCTGTCCTGGAGCAGTAGCCACAACGGTCATGCCAGCAGCACAGTCCTCCATTACTGCACTGGAGGGACTTTCCATGCAACAGAATCTCAATAAAATACTTGCCCTTGGCTCCTCACCTCTGTTGCAAGACAGAGCTGTAGATACTGCACAACTTTCTATAGCTCACCTTGACTCATTTGTGGTGAAGAAGGAGAGAGAACTGAACTGTCAAACACAGGAAGGGGCACCATGCTGTCTGCCTTCATTCCAAGGAGCCGGATGTTCGGGGTCAGGAAGACTATCCCCATTAATGAGTGGAGTGGGATTTACTTCTGGATCTATCAGATAGGATTGTGACTTGAGGACTGTGTCACACACCCCAAAGAGGCTTGTGAATGATGTCTAAGGATGGACCTTTTGTCTTGAAACGAAAGATCCCAAACATGAAAGAGGCTTCTCAGACATGTATTTCATGTTCTTTCAGCAATTCAGTTTGAGTGACTGCTGAAAAAGAGCCTCTTTTTTCAATGCTCTTTTGCCTGACAATTTGTATCATAATTTTTGCACCCAATAGCATTGCAAGGGGTGTCAGCAGCTAATCATAACATCCAGGTGGGATTAGGGATTTTAAATGTGTAAAAGTGCCTGCAAAAGAGTGAGGAGTGTTCTTGACTTTGGTCATTCCTTGTGGAATGACTGTGTGCTGAGCTCCTGCTGTTATCTAGTTTCCTTTCCCCCCCATGTGTGTGTGTGTGTGTGTGTGTGTGAGAGAGAGAGAGAGAGAATGCTTTCCCTGTTTGATTATTTTTAAAAAATTGTTACTTGGTTAATTTACTGTGTATCTGTTAACATTATATATTTGAGGGTAGTTTGGAGAGACTATTTTGTTTGCTGCTGTGAAGGTATATGTGCCAGTGTGTGACTGGGCTGTATGAATGTGATAATATAAATGAATACCTGCACAGGTCTGATAATAACTTTCTCATGTACTATTGCTTTTGGAGCAGATTCATTCTATGTTTCTTTGTCTCTTGTTTTTTTAAAAACTGTAGTTTTTAAAGTGTTTTTAGGATTTTTGGAGTGCCAGAAAACACAAATGAGGAAACACAAATTGGAATCCCCTTTCCTGTAAAAAAACAAAAGGAATGATGCACAAAAAAAAATTAAAAATGCAAAAATGAAGGAAAACTAAAGAAGCACCTTCCAAAAGAAGCCAAAACAAAAGAAATACAACAAAAGGAATGATGCACATTTTTTTTAAAAAAAATGCAAAAATGAAGGAAAAGTAAAGAAGCGCCTTTCAAAAGAAGCCAAAAGAAAAGAAATACAAAAATTTTCACTATGGATGTCTCTAACAGTGTCAGTGTCATTTGCTTTCAAGCAGCAGGTTGAAATAATTTTCATTCTTTTATGCATTCTGAGCTTGGCTGTTCAGGATTGTATTTGCTGCTTGATACTAATTACGTTCTTCTTGTTATAAAACATGTGGTTATTATAGCTTTTTAAATCCCCCCCTCTGTTAACCACCCTGGAATCACAGCTTAAGTGCTGACCCTGGAAGAAAAAGAGGTTCTGGGGCTAATGTCAGATTAAGCCCTGAGTGGCATCCTGCAATAGGTGGGCATGAATTTTTTGTCAGTCTCCAGTCAAGTATCAAGACTTCAAACTGTAACCTGTTTGAATTAATCTAGGTTACTGGATCATTTAGCACATTGTACCAATCCTGTTTACAAGGTGCTGCTGTCTCCCATTTCATCTCACATCTCCCTTCCACGTGTCTGCATGCGCCACTTACAGAGCAGAAACTCAATTACAGCCAACTGTTGACAGGGAACGACAGCCACCCCCCACGTATCAAACGCACACTTCCATCAAATTAAGACCAACTTCATTCACTGTTGAGGACCTTCCTGGCCCAGCTTTTCCCTGCCTCTGCATTTCTGGCTTGCCCTGGGTGACTGAGTCCAGCGATAAGCAAAATGTATTTTCCCAGGGCTATTTTGTGGCTTCTGGCTTTCCCATGTTTCCTTTTTTTTTCCTGGCAAAAAAGGGCGAAATACTACTCTCCAGGAATTGTCATTTTCCTTCTAAAGATGCCACAGTCTGCACCACACAATTTAACTGCAAAAAATACCTGTTTTCCAAACCAGATGCAGACTACCTAGACTCTTCTAGATTAGGCTACCTTCCCCCCCATTTCATTTCTTTTTCATAGTTTGTTCTCGCCCCCCCATAGACTCCTGGGGGCGGAGCGGGGAAAGAATTGGTCCTAGCAACATTGCCAATTCCTGTTGCAGTTGCTCGTGGATCTCTTTCATTTTACCACAATATTTAGCAGCAGCAAAGGCGCACAAACTTTCATCAGTAAAGTAAGACTTTGGAGTAAGGGTCTGGAGCCCCACATGGCCAAAGGAGAAGCAGCGAACCCTATTTCAGTAAGCCAAATGTGAAGCCAGTGATGTAATACTCACTACTATTGTATGTGTGGAATACTAAAAGGGTAGCAAGAAACCACACCTCCCAGCTGCCTTTACGACCTAATTCTGAACTCACTTCATAGAAGCAAACCCATCACGGACATCTACCATGCATTTTTGGGACTCTGGCCTACAATTTTTCTGCACGATCCATAAAGCTGAGCCTTTTACCCAGGGCAGCTTGTAATTTGTGTGGTGTTCTTTTTAGTGGTTCAATAAAATTACCACCTTACTCCTGCATTAGAATAATATGATAAATCTCTCCATCTCCCACAGCACTTCCATTTTCCCTTGTTTTCTTTCTGTTATATACACTGGAAAAGACAAGTATGCCCTCCTCTCTGGAAACTCTCTAAAAGGGTAGACATAAAACTATTTCAGTCCAGTATGAAAACTGCAAAGATGGGGAAAGATGCTTTCTAAACATTGGTAAAGGTAAAGGTTCCCCTTGACAATTTTTGTCCAGCCGTGTTCAACTCTAGGGGGCAGTGCTCATCCCCGTTTCCAAGCCATAGAGCCAGCGTTTTGTCCGAAGACAATCTTCCGTGGTCACATGGCCAGTGCGACTTAGACACGGAACGCTGTTACCTTCCCACCAAGGTGGTCCCTATTTATCTACTTGCATTTGCATGCTTTCGAACCGCTAGGTTTGCGGAAGTCTAAACATTGAAAAACCACCTAATATCATGCTTGCACTAATGGGAATGGTATAAGTCAGTCAACCAACCAAAGATAAACAAATATAAAGCTACAGCTTCCTAAATCCCACAGTCAACATGGCCATGTGGGTTCTTCTTCAGAACTGAGAAAGGATTCCAACAAAACATGGATTTAGAAAAAAACCCAGAAAGCACATTTTTCTTTTCTTTTCTCAGCACTGTTGAAAAATCTCAAGGGCATTAATAGAACATCATGAAATGTCTTTTCTCTAGTAAAATAATCCTTTAATGTATTATCACTGTATATTTATTTTATCAACTTGAAAAACCATAAATAGTATATATACTTCATGTCAAATGTAAGAAATATAATCACTTGTTATATAATCACTCAAAATATTATGCCTCCCTTTTGCAAATAGAGAAGACCAGGCAGTTCCTTGCAAACTGAACAGAAATACGTAATAGTTCTGCGCTCTACAATCAACTTAAGAAAATCCTCTGAATATTCCTCACTTTGTATTATCACTGTATAATTATTTTATCAACTTTAAAGACCATAAATAGTATATATACTTCATGTCAAATATAAGAAATATAATCACTTGCTAGAACTCAAAATATTACGCCTCCCTTTTGCAAATAGAGAAGACCAGGCAGTTCCTTGCAAACTGAACAGAAATACGTAATAGTTCTGCGCTCTACAATCAACTTAAGAAAATCCTCTGAATATTCCTCACTTTCTTCCACTCTCATATGGCACAGATATGCATCCATGTAATTCCCAAAGTACTCTGTTGAAAACCCCATTTGGCTTTCTGTTGCTTCATCTGTCAAAGACAGGAAGAAAGGTCCCCTCAGCCCTATGAAGGCTCATGAGGACAAATCAGGGTTAGTGGTTGCACCTGGGACGGCACGGACACAGAGGTTCTGGCATTAGACGCTCATGCAGACACGATAGAAGGGGAGGCATTTTCCCAAACGGAGCTCCAGTGTCACTCTGAACCCGCCAAAAGGACATTGCACTCGCCAGGTACTTACATGGCCAAATGGGTCCAGATGGTTATTTGTCAGCTTGAGTTTTTGGAAGGATACCAACTGCCTCATCCAGTGAGCTCCAGTCGCTGGTGAGTCTGGGTGGACGTACAGTCTTCCAGGCATGGCAGGTTCAGCTTTCCCTGTCACCGACCTAACCAGAAAATACACAGTGTTTTGAATTTTCATTTCCTTTTCCTCCACCCATCAGAAAACCAGAAACGTCTGAGCAGTTTTCAGGAAGGAGGTATGACAGAAGAACTACAGATGGTTTTGCAGGATGATTTAGGTCCTTTCTTAAGAAACATCCCATGTCTAAGTTATTTTGTCCTGAATCCCATGTAAATGGATTCAAAATTACTCCTTATTCTCTGGTTTGCAAACCTTACATGGTGGCTGAAGCCTGAGCTAATATAGACTCCCTGAATCCCATGTAAATGGATTCAGAATTACTCCTTATTCCCTGTTTTACCTTTGCAAACCTTATGTGGTGGCTGAAGCCTGAGCTAATATAGACTGACTATGGCCTAAATCTGACTGCTAGCTCCAGCTAGAACAAGCCCATTGAATCAATTGGTTTTGTAGAAGTGCAATTTCACAAGTCCAATTCATTCAATAAGTCTACTCTAACGGAGACTAATAACTTAGCTCTATGGCACTAATCAATGTGATGTAGCCACACATTCAAGTTCTCTACCTCGCTTGCTGGTTTATAAAAACCTATAAATGAATACCTATCATGGAGAACTAGAGTGTGTTTTGAACCCATCTCCATAAACCATGGTTTGTTAACCAGCCATACATTACCATTAGAAGCTATAACAAACTATATCTTGCCACTGGATCTGAATTCACAACTGTGGCTTGTTCCCACAGATGTCTACCCTGAAACAGGGGTGAACATGAGGAGTAGGAAAGAAACCTAATCGTGATTTGTTGGGTTGTCCGCATGACAACACCTGGCCAAAGAACTAGGGCATCTAATAAACCATGCATTAGTGTGACATGCAGAGATACCCCTCTCCTTCTCCCCCCACTGCCCCCATTTCATGCACTCAGGTTGTTTAAAATTCTTCATCAGGTCAAGTATTGCAGAGCTTTAGTGAAAGGGGGGAAAGCCAAAGGTCCAGAAATCATCCTGGCTGAATGTCGAAGCTGCAGGATCTACAGCAGAAGTAATGTTCCAAGTCCACAAATTTGAAGAATCAACCTGAGTAGCAGAAGTAATGTTCCAAGACAGAAGTCCACAAATTTGAAGAATCAACCTGAGGTTTGATGGTAGGAGGTTTCACCTCTCGAGATGTAGAGGTCCCTCTCTAAAACAGATCCTGCACTTCAGCATCTAGCCAGGATTATTTTATCTCTTTCCCACCCAGCACTAATCTCTGCAGAAGTCAGTGTGGGGAACAGTCCTGCACAACTTAAAAGTCCACTTTTTTAATAATATTTTTGTGGTTCAATAAAGGTAATCCTTAATTTTGCATATAGATCACACAGCTGTGTTTCTTTTTCTTCTTCTCCTTCTTTGATTAGGAGCTGGAGCCATAAAACAGGGCTCACTCCTCATAAACAGGGATACTAGAGGTCGGTTTAGCTGGAAATGTTCTGTGCATGTGCCATTACTTTGTGCATGTGCAATTATTTTGATGGCACATGCACAATGAATCCGGAGATGCTTCTAGGCAAGCCTTTTCATGTGCAATGACCTTTCTTCATTCATGGAACTTTAGTAGGGAATCCAGATGATGAGATCTTCAATTTGTGGACCCCCTGTATTTCCCCACTGTTTCATCTGTTTCCTCCCCCCAACCTCCTTATTATAGAAAACCTGCTAAGGAGCGCTGTTATGGAAGAACTGCATTAAAGTTTTGGACTGGCAGCCTTCAAGATAGGCATCTGGAAGTATCCTAATGTATGACTTCCAAGCTGTATTTCCCTCCACTCTTTCTCCATCTCACTTGCCAGCTGACTGTGTTCATTTGTGAATCTTTTATGTATATATTGGAGAGGAATGTGAACTTTCTTAGTCCAAAAAATAAATAAATCCCACACTACCTTAAAGATTAATTGTCTTCATTTCCTTTGTTCTGAATGATGCATATTTCATTTTTAACCCTTTATTTATGGGTGCTGCTTCTGATCCTGTTCTCACAGGGTAAAAATTTAGGCAGTATCCACCCTTCATTCCATAAACGTATGGATTAACTTCTCCTTTAAGGCTATGTGTGATAACTTTCCTGGTTGAATTTGACTTCATTCTGAAATAAACATGCTAAAATTCCAAGTTTATATTGATGCACGGCGACAGTCAGATTGCAAAGGTGGGCAGAGGTGGGCTATGCCCTCACCTTTCATTATACACTTCTGATATATTTGTATCTTTCCTTTCCTTCAAGGAATTCAAAGCATGTCATCTTTGACTTTTTTATCTTCATAATAAAATGATGACTAGGTGATGCTGTCACCCTCAGCTTAACCCAGTTCATTCACCAAGCTTCATAGCTAAGTAGGGTTTGAGTCAGTATCCACAGTCTCAGGTCAGATACTTGGACCACTAAACCACACTGCCATTTTTATGCTTCATCTTACATGGTAGTAGAAGAAACAGTTATTTGACTACCATTGGGAGGTTCACAGAGGACCTCCTTCTCCACCCACATTGCTGAAATATGTGAAACAGGACATCTAACCATCTAGCTTAAGCTGGATAAAGTCCTGCCTCGCCTTGCACCCCTGATACCCCTGCCTTCCATTGCATACCATTTGTTATCTGCAAATTTGTATCTGTGGTCATCAGAGGGGACAATATCCATCAAGAGGATGTACTTGGTTTTAGGGTTGAGTCCTGTCACTTTCACTTTGTAGCTGGGGAACATTCGCCTATAAAGGAAGGAAACGAGACATGAATTAGCAGGGAACTCCATTGATCTTCAAAAACCGGTTCTGAAATAAATTCAGCCAACTATACTATCAGCAAGACTGAGAAGTAGGGAAGAAACTGGTTATGTGCCATCAAATTGGAGCCAGCTTATAGTAACCCTAATAAGGCCTTCAAGGTAAATGAGATATTTCAGGAGTGATTTTTCCAGCTCCACATACCAAATGAGCTTCCATGGCTGAGTAGGGATAGGGACCCAGACCTTCTAAGTCCTAGTCTGTTAATAGGACCAGAACTCACTACACCACCCTGGCTATCAGGAAACAAGCAGGCATTTTGAAATGGCAGACTTATTCTTAAAAGACATGATCAATTTTGTACAAATTCCATGCATCACACTCAGATTTTACAGTCTTCAGTCTAAATATTTACTCAGAGCTTGAAAATGTTACTTTTTTGGAGTATGGTTCTAGGATTCTTCCAACCAGCACAACTGCTGACTCTTCTGGACCAGGAAGTCTGGGGTTTTTAAGTCTGAAGAAGGCAGGTCATCCAACTCTGCATTAATTTGGAAGTAAGGCTCATCTCATAATAAGGACATGCTTTAGACAGGCAGAGGGACGTGGTGGCGCTGCGGGTTAAACCGCAGAAGCCTCTGTGCTGCAAGGTCAGAAGACCTGCAGTCGTAAGAGCGAATCCACGTGATGGAGTGAGCCCCCATCGCTTGTCCCAGCTCCTGCCAACTTAGCTGTTTGAAAGCATGCAAAATGCAAAATGCGAGTAGATAAATAGGTACCACCACGGTGGGAAGGTGACAGCGTTCCGTGTCTAGTCGCGCTGGCCACGTGACCACGGAGGATTGTCTGCAGAGAAACGCTAGCTCTATGGGTTGAAAACAGAGATGAGCACCACCCCCTAGAGGGGAACCTTTACCATTTAGAGATGCAGAGAGGCAGAAGAAGAGAGAATGTATGGAACCTTTCCCTTCTGCAAAGACATCCCCAGTCACATCTGTGTGTACTCTGGGTGGGGCATGTTCTTGCCAGAAAAAAAGCAGCTTTAAAGCAGTTTGAAAGCAACCAAATCATTTAAACTGAACTAGCAGAAGCCATTACCCCTAGGTGCAACTTTGAAAACAAGACAAAGCACTTGTCACTGTCTAGGGTTGACCAGAGTGGCCAGCTTGTGGCTGTAGAGTCACAAGGCTACCATCCCTTATCTAGGTAATATATGTGGGTTAGTACCTATGAGAATGATAGCCAAATACACTTCCCTTATCACAGCAAGGGAAGATGTTGTCACTTCTTGCCAGGGTGTCTGCTGCTCTATTCTTGGCCCCGTCCTGCTACTCTGTTTGAGCTTTCTTTGCCATCGGCATGAAATGCACTTTCGTGTACTTTTGTTTCTGGTCAGGTCATATTCAGCTCAGTTCAAAGCCAATCCAATCAAAACAAAGCAATGCAATGCTTAAGAAACCACATAATCCTCTTTTTTGTCTCAGGCAAGCTTTAGCAATGTATTGGTGGTTGGGGAACAAGCTTTCAGCATCCAGGTGCATTATTTTCCTCTGTCTGGCACTGAAGTTATTTACTTCATTTATTTATTTTTTAAATTTTACCCAACCTTTCTCCTTAAAAGGGACCAAGGTGACTTACATAATTAAATGACAATATTTTAAAAACTAAAAACAGTAAGTATATAAATATTGAAAAGAATTGAACAAATATCACATTAAAAAGGTAAACAAAACTCAGAATCAAAAAACAGATTCAAAGTAACAAGGCATAACACTCCATTTAAAACCCCTCTCAGACTACCAGTCATTAAAGAAAAGCCTGCCTGAAGAGAAAAGTCTTTGCCTGCTTGCAGAAGGGCAGCACAGATGGGGCCAGGCTGGCCTCCAGTGGGAGGGAGTTCCAGAGTCTGGGAGCAACCACAGAGAAGGCCCTCTCCTGTGTCCCCCCGAAATATATATGTGAAGGTGGTGGGACCTTTGTTCAAAGTGAATTTTAAAAATCTCATTGTGTTTTAGTATTTTAATTTGTCTTTTAATTACATTTTGTTCAATTAATATAGAGTCCTATTTTGGAAAGAAAGTCAAAAACAGGCCTTATTTTCCTCACTGCTTAAGAAAAATGTATTGGAAACTGTCCAAAGTTATTTTTTTACAACCTACGTACTTGCATGTTAATATTTGAATTGGTTGGTGATTAAATTGCATTTGGTTTAATTGTGTGAAACTGAAGTGTTAGTGTAGTGTACATACACTTGTGAGTTGATATGGCAAAGGCCATCACATCCAGTACCCCAAGTTTTGTTTGACTGCAACTCCCAGAATCCCTTTGGCTGTCTTGATTGGAGGACTTGGCTTTTGAAATCTGACAACAGCCCATGAGACACACCCTTGAATGACCTGCACATACAAGGTGCATTCTGCACAAGGCCAGACCAAGACCTGCCAGAAACAAAGGATAAGACAACACCCTCTGCCTCTCTTCCTACAGGTTCCGGAAGGGCTGGCAATCTGATCTTCAATACTAGCTGCATTTTATTTAGCTGGTTCTTCCCCTCCCCTGTTAAAAAAAGGGTAGAGGCTTTTCCTCAAAGCATAAAGCACTTCCTATCTTATGCATCACAAATGTTATAGTTCATCACTCTAAGAATACATATGAGATTTGAGGTCACATATAACCATCCCAGTCAGTAGCCACTGGTGGCCCTAATCTCAAGGTCTTTTCTTAAGCTGTCCAAATTGTCAGTTCTCACTATATGTTACATCGGCAAATCCCACTGTTTAACTATGCATTGCATGAAGAAGCAATTCTTTTCATCTGTCTTGAAATCCTTTCAGCTTCAGTGGATGACCTTAGCTTTCTAGTATTATCAGAGGAGAAAATCTCCCCCATCTATTTTCTGCACACCAAGCATATACTTCTGCCCTCTCTTCTTCTAAAACCCCCAAAGTTTCCTGATCATGGAATTGCTACAGTCCTTCAATAGTTTTACCTGCTTTTTACAGATCTTCCACAATATCCATCTTAGTAAAGTACCAGCCTCAAAAAAAAGGTCCAGGGTTTTGTCCCCAATATCTCTTGATAGGTCTGAGGCACATCACAGTTTGAAACTCTGAAGAACTGCCACTAATCTTTGGCCAAAATCCTGTCACCTTGTGTAGTAAACTGCACCAAAGTCGGTCCATTGAATCATATGCTAAGCAACAGGATGTTGACCTGTATACAAAATGATAGGGATGTGATGAGTAGACTCAATATTTCTCATTCTTCTGTTTTTCACTCCCATGTGGAGATTTCTCAGAGAAAAACCCCACTGACCTCTGAAAATGAGACTCCCATCTATTTCCCCCTTTGGGTTTGTTTGTTTTTTTTTTTTTGGTATCTTTTTGCTTTTTGTTTGTTGCCCATTGTTGTGTCCAGGAAACTGCCAAATTTTGTACTCCTTTCCAGGGAATCCTCCCGGGAAAGATGCCACTTTGCATGGAATTGTAATAGCCTTTGCATGGCCTAGTGTTTCTTCCAGGTGACTGCAGTACTGAACAACTGCTGTTTTGCATGAGAGTTGTCATAACCTTCTGCAGCTTTGCATTTGTCCCAGAAAAATAGGATACACAACATTTCTGAAAAATCTGATGAGCTCTCCTACAGGATTTCTTGGTGAAAAATCCTACACCGAGAAATCTCAAAAAAAGAGTGTCACCCACCCACCAGGTTGCAAGATAATATTCAGCTGGACGGACAAATTCCATACAAGAACCTTTCTGTACTTTTGCAGTGTTCTTCCTTATTTTTTCCCCTCCATATTTTAAAACCAATAGGCCATTGGCTGGTGGATGTGTGGATTTCTGCGCAATCCTTAAACATTGGTGTCTATGCTGTCTGGGGGCTGATGGGAGATGCAGCCTGACAGTAACTGGAGGGTCACCCCAGTGTGTTGTGGCAACCAATGCACTGTGCTCACCATGAGTCTGAATTCTTACTTACCCCTAAGTAAGTGAGAATTCAAACCCATCGTGAACATGGTTGACACTAGGTGTCAAAACATACTTTCTTGTCCGTTACATATTGAATCAATGAAAGCATTGGCTACAAGACATTGTTTGCCTAGGTCTAAATCCTGTTACTGGATTAGACTACAACTCCCACTGTAGATTTCTGGTGGTTCTAGTCTAAATCCTTGGTTTATTCCAGTATGCAGCCTTCTGCACTCAAATAAATAATGTTCCATTGCAATCAAATAAAATATGCTGGCTACAGCTACAAGGAATTGTAGTCCCACAACTTCTGGATGGCCACTTCTGGATGGCCCCAGTATAAGGCATTCATTACACTTTTCCCTAGCTGAGTGTTTGCGTCAGTGAGAATTGCCACTGTCAGCAATGCTACTGCCCCCGCCTCCAAAAGGTAACGCCCAGCTCAACAACTGTTTTTCAAATGTTTTCATATTTATAAAGAAGGGACGGCCAACCAATCCTTTAAAAACTATATTTTGCAATTTTATTGTATTATATTGTTTGTTACCCTAAGTTTTGAGCAAACACTAGAAAAGTGGGATAGAAATTATTTGCATGAACAAAGAAACAAATTAGGCCTTTGAATCTAAAATATTTGTGCAAATTAAAAGCTGTTTCCATTTTTATACAGAGTGTGCAGATGCTTTTTTTTGGTAGCACACACATAACAATAGTTTTAAATATACTTGTAAGAAGTCTATATAGGATTATAGCCACATGTGATAATTTTAATACAAAATAATCAAATAACTTTAGTTGGAAGTATATAGGCAACTAACAGACACAAAAGTCTTTAATGTAATGATGTTTAAGTACAGGTAATATGTGATAATGTATAGCATGATAGATTCCCTGTTATCCCGAGTTATTTCCCTTTACTCTTGAAATAAATAAATAAATATAAAAGGAAAGACATCTATATGGCAAAGAGACTTTTAAAATATCAAAAATATTGAGATGGATCTAAGGCTTTGTCATATTTAGAGGAGCCCTGCTGAAATCAATGAGTCTTAAATTGTTTCAGTTTAAGTGGGTCTGCGCTAATTATCTCATTATGCTGACATGTAGATGGAATCTATTTGTCTTTAGAGAAACTGAAGAGGTTGTTGATTTGAGATTAATCAACTGGAGTTACAACATTTTGAGAAATTATTAAATAATTCTTCTCATTGAAAACTGGAAGTAAATACAGTCACTTTTTGAAGGCATACACCAACCTCTCAGTTTGCTTTGGACCCTCTTACGTGATTTGGGGAAAAGCCAGATTTTTGGTTTCCAAAAAGTTTGGAGGCTGTCTGATTTCAGCTAAGAACTGGAAAATAAAGTATGGTTTTCATTAAAAGAATAGTATGTAGAAGTATGAAATATAGCTATTAATGATAAGCGAATGTGTAATGTTCAAGTAAATTGGTTATATTTCCAATGGTCCTGACTAAGGTCAGAGCACCTTTGATATAGTTGTTCTGAGGTTTTGTGTTTGTTTGTTTGTTTAGGTTTTGCAAAGTTTTCTTACACTTATAATATTTTGTTATTAATAAGATTAATTTTGAAATGCCAAAGGCATTTGCTCCCCCATCCAAAACTTGATATGTCTTTAAAGATGCACAGGGCTTTGTGGGTGGGGAAAAGTACAGTAAGGCCAACAATCCAATTGGCTCACGCTCACATATCATAATCCTTTATGTGGATGCCCTTGAGCCACAAAGTTTTCCATTTGCCCACTTTGGGGTTCCCCTGATGGCTAGAGCACACCCCCTCATTTTGTAGAAGTTTATAGAAGAATGCATCTACTGTCACCCACACCTCGAATTTATCAGTAAGGCAGAAAGCCCGTAGGTTTCCTGGAAAGTGATGCAGGTCGTGATTAAGACTGGCTGTCCCCACCACCATCACCACGACCAATACCCGCCCTTTATCCCAGACATACGCAAGGATACAGCCAAAGGACTTCAAGCTCCTTCCAACCCACCTCTCCCCTACACGGTCCCACACAATTCAATACCCACATGCGCTTCAAAGAAAAATCTAAAAATCCAGCAGCTACCATCAAACTCTTGCCTCATTCAAAGTAAAATGGCTGGAAGACATGTAGAATCAATTTTGCTCTGTTCTTCCAGCTGCAACTCATGTAACAGATGTTCATAATATTTTTCTTTCTTCCAGCAAGAAGCTGAGTACAAAAGGCAATGAGCGAAATTCTAAAAATCTAACCCACTTCCACAGAGGCAGAATTCCCCAGTCCAAATGGTGCCAGTTCTACTTGGAAGGAAATGCCATTCTTTTCAATAGGACTCGTTTCCCAAGAAAGTGAAGATAAAATTCCATGCCTCAAGTGGTAACGAGAAGAATGGAGGCCACTCTCTTAAAATAAAAAAAAAAGCAAACAAACCGAGCAACAAAATCCAGAGGCAAAATTGGGAACAGGAGGGAATGAAACCGCTTTTCTGAACAAGAACAAAACAGGCTGCCTTCTGCCTGTCACATGATGAGAAATCTGGAAATGCCAGAGCACAGGGGATTAGCTGTGTGCCCTTTCAGGCTGCTTCAGTGCCATAGGGTATAAATTTGCCTCTATGACACAGTGTTTGTCTACCTGTGACCGTTTCATACGTAAATCAGGTATGTAAGGCTTATGTCTGCATGTACTGTATTCTTTACTCTCATTCACACATGCACTCACACAAAACATGTATAACATGTGCCAAAAAGCCATGGATAATATTTCCTTGCAACCCTCAGCATGTCCACTCAGAAAACGGCGTCAGTGGCTGCAAGATAGTTTGAGGGTGAATGGACCAGCCATGCAATGGTGAAGCCAGAATCTTATTACTGATTTCTGTTGTCTAAAGGAAGTTGCTTGAATTTTGGCAGCATGTTGCCACTTACTAAGGAGGTGCTGGTTGAGTTTTTGGGCTCCTACCCTGTCTGTTGCACAATACATAACTGTACACAAATGGAAATCACCAACAAGCTATTGGCCACAGTGTTTAGTAGGGCTTCCTAGCAAATAATTATACCTGTATAGGGGGAGCAAATTCTGATGCATAAGGTTCAATTTCAATATCAATAATTTATATTCAATAATATAAATTATAAGCATTAACTATAAGCAGCTGTAGGTAAAATGTATGAAAGAAACAATCCAGAGGAAAGGCCTTTGCTTTTAAAGGGACATTGGACCAAGCACATATTTTATCTGCTTCACTGAAACCTGCAAGAATTGCATCTGTGCCTTACTCCAGGGAAATTCCTGTTGATTTAAACAGGGCTTTCTCCCCAGAAACTTGGTGGAGAATTTGCTCCCTGATTTAAGGCAGACTGTGGCTAAATGCAAACATTAGTTGCATTACAAAAATGTCTAAAGAAACCAGGGAGGGCTGCCGGAAGGGAGGAAAGAGGGAAATTCTTCGCAAAAATGAAACATCTGCCCATGAATCGAAGTTAAACACCTCTAGGTTAGTTGTTCTGTGCTTTCCAGGGTTTGTTTATTCAGATGTAAACCCATTGGTGCTTAATGGGAGTTTAATTTCCATGTAAATGGTCAGTGGAGCACAGCTTCAGCCCTGCTTGATTTTTTCTTGAGAGTCTAAAGGCTGGGAAAAATGGACTGAAATCTCCTGCAGCAGATACATCCCCCACAATTCATGATACTAGTGCATGTTTACAAATAAGTAAATTCCGCAGTATCTAATTGCCCTCACTCTCCGGTAAGTAAGCAGTGGGATTGCAATTTGAGAATTATATCCACTGTGCCTTGCATGTGGGATAACACAATTTCTATTTTTTTCCCACACAATATCCTTGGAAAATATATCCCAAGAATTCAGCCATGATAGTATGGTTTATATGAGCCTTGGTGAGTGGGTTGCATATTTTAGTTAGTTTACATGGGACAGAATCCTGGCATAGCTCTGATTCATTTAAATGGATCTCCCACAGAAAATTCCTTGTAAGTCCTGTTGAATTTTGTTGTTGTTGTTGTCCTTTTGCTTTGTTTTAAGAGAAGTCTCTGGCCCACCATTGTTTTGTGATTTATTTCTTGAACAATATTATTGACTGGACAAAATTATTCTGTTCACTGTCATTGTGTCGGAAAATATCATCCTAAACATCCATTCACTTACTTTAAAAATATCTGTACCCCACCCCTGCCTCAGAAAAAGCTTTCAGGGGCATTTAAGAACCTTCTCTTAACACAAACATGTGCAGCCACCCTAAGCAGGCTTGTTCAGAAGCAAGCCTAGACTGCGGCTCTCCCATGCGACCGACTCTCAACCAGTGTGTACCAAAGTCCTCCCTGAAACCAGGAGGTAAAAAGACTTCCAGTTGAAAATTCTTGTCTGTTCAGAAACAGGCCCCATCGCATTCTGTGGGACTAAGTCATAAACAAGTGTGTGAGAAAAATTGTGGTCTAACCTCCCCGCCCAGCCATGGAAGCTCAGCGGGGGAGTGGAACTGCTCCTTAAAAGTCTCACTTACCTCGGAAGGGCCACTTTGGACATGACCGTAACACACACACACAAACACACACACACACACACACACACACTTTTAAGGAAAGCAACTTCAATCATCCCTATTTCAAGTTCCCTAAATCAATACGAAGACCAATAAACATCCCTCTTCTGCCTAATACCTATTTATGATTTTTTTAAGGAAAGCAACTTCAATTATCCCCATTTCAAGTTCCCTAAATCAATACGAAGACCAATAAACATCCCTCTCCTGCCTAATACATAGTTATGATTTTATGAACGGTTCTTCCCCACTCCATTTCCAATTCTGAATGATTACTTACCTTCCAGCTTTGGTTATTATCATCTCAGTCCCCACATCATGAAATTTAAGCCACAGCTCTCTTTCGTGCAAAAATACTTTGATTCCCTCCATGCCCTGGGGGGAAAAAAGAGCAAAATAAAATTTTTAAAAAATGATAAAGACCATTTGTCATAATAATCCTTTAACTAGAGGAAATCCAAACCACAAAGAATTAAGGTCTTTCTACTTTAAAGTCAGTGAAGAAACCATCTGCAGAAGGAAACTGGGACATCATTTCTTTCAAGGGTACCCTTAATAATCCAGAGACACGCAACAGGCCCAGGGAAGGAAGGTACGAAGTACTTGAACAGGCCCAGATCTAACAGCTTGCTCTCTTTGAGAGAGATTTAAATCCCCGTACAATAGAGCCCCTTCAATGAATTAGTGAATCCAATGTGGCTAAAAATCCCGTTGACTTACTGGCTCTACGCTGAGTTGGGTCCACCCGTTGGCTCCCGGCCGGGATCGTCTCCCCTTGCCTTTGGGATTCCACCCTTCTTGGCAAAAGCCGCCGGGTTGCACCGTAACGTGTGAAATGGCACCGAGGCGACCGGCCTCTTTTATCTATTGCAGACCTAGCTGGTTCTCTATCTGCAGCCTCCGTTTTATCCCTTTAAAGCGAACGGAGCGGTTGCACGGACGGACTTTTTGGGATTGCAGCTTTATCTCCCCAAAAGGCCAGGAATGGGCACGGGAGGGAGGGAAGGAGGGAAGAAAAGACGGTCGGGGGAGGCGGGCGGGGGCGAACGGACGGCCCCTTCGGCTCCTGTTCAAAGAAAGGTCCGCGGCGGCTCTGGGCGCTCCGGAGATCTGCCCAGCGCCAGCGGCCGTGGGAGCCGCTCGGAGGCCTCTGATAGGAGCCGGCCAGATAGGCACCGGGCCAAGAGCATCAAAATAGAAGGGGCTATAATAAGGATCGGCAGGGAGGGGAGCTCTCCTGGTTGGGGAGGAACAGAGAAAAGGGGGGGGGAAGAGAAGGGACTTGCTTTGCGGGGTGTCGCCTCCAGAGCGAGAGGAAGCTTCGGGGGCAACACCCCCCAAATCTCTTCTTAAAAGGAGTCCAACTCCCTTCATTGCTCCATTGCAAGGTCAAAAAATATGGGGACCCCCGCCCTCCAACGCCATTTCCAAGACTAACCAAACGTCCTGAGTATTGGATGAAGATGCTCAATCCGTACCAACCCCTTCACCCCTCTTTTCCCTCCTCTTCCCTCCGTGTGGGTTTCTTAGACGTCTAAAGTGACCGCCACCCTCCCTGCTTTATTTATTGTGTGACTATTCCATAATTTCAACATTATCCACTATTTATTTCTGTCCGATCCTTTTCCAAATAAGGCCTTGTGAAGCCTGTTGAAATCAATAGATTAGAAAGCCATGTTCTGCCAAAGACCGCCGCAGCCCCTCTGTAGCTAAGTGAAGTTCCCCGGACTTCCACGGGATTTCGCTAACCAATAAGTGTACACAGGATCAGGACCTGGTCCGGCAATGGAAAGACATTTGGGTGTCACCCAAACCAAGATTTATTTTTCAGGGAAATAAGAGCAAATTAATTTATCTTTTAATCAAAAACTATCACGTATTCCAAAGCTATCTTTAACAGTGCCAACCTGCATTTGCTTATTGAAAATTAAATTCCCGGGAGCTCAAGGAAACTTAGAAAAGTGTGTACAGGACTTCAAAGAGTGCTTTACCCACTTGCCTCAGCATACATTAAATAAATTAACAAATAACAAATGTTCCCCTCACTCTAAGGCCGGCAGATCAAAAGGACCGGGGGGAAAAATATTGTCCCTGGATTAATCAACCAGACAGTTGAGTTGATTAATCTACCCGTAATTGAAGGTTACAGCCACAGTGCCAAGTCAAAATCACGATGATCGGATGTACAAGCAACTGAATATCAGTTATTGTCCCAGCACACCTGCATACAGACAGTCTGTACCACTGAGTGCAAACCTACATAAGCTTACTGGGAGGCAATAAACCTTGGGAAGGTTGAGGGGGACTTATTCACACAGGTAGGTTTTCATACCGTTAGAACGGCCATAGGCTCAAAAACCTAAATACAGTACATAAATCTGCTCTCCTTCCCGTTCCTGCTCATCTCGCACGCACGCACTCACGCACACACACACACACAAAAGACAAGTGGCAATTTATTTGAGGCTGCGTTCCTAAAAATCTTTTCCTAAGACAGTGCCGGTATCGGGAGAACCGCCACAATTGGCCTCGAGGTTTCATGATGTGCCTTTTTCACGTCCTTGATGGGCCATGTCAGTTTCTGCAGCTATGCATGTCTAGAGGAAGCGGTCTTTCCATATAAAATAAAATAAAAGCATTTGCAACTCCCCTCCGACGCAGTTTCAATAGGGTGCGTGCAGCCCCACAAGTCAATGAATGCTGCATTTTATTTTATGTTCTTGCGACTCTGATATCCATCCCCAGACAGTGAGGAGACCGGGGCCTCCTTGATCTTAACATCTCCACCGAGGACTGAAGATAGCAGGCAAAGGACGGCGAAACTGCTCGCCGGAGAAAGCGCCTCCCGAGAAATAAAAGCTGGCCGCCCCGGCCGTGCCCAGAGTTTCTGTGTTTGTCATAAAATAAAAGCGATCATCGGCTTCTTCAGCCACCAGAGAACAGATGTGGGGATGCTGAAGAAGGGAGAAGCAAACCTGAAAGATCAGGTTGCAGGATCAGAGCGTAGCCGAGGTAAGAGGCCTCGCACATCCACGCAGACACGCAGGAACCGCTGCTTGCTGGCTTGCTTGCTTGCTTGCTTTGAAGCCTGAATGTAAACAAAACTCCTCCAAGCGACAATGGTACCCACGCCTCCACAGGGGTCGATTCTCATTCACCTCCGGAGGATTTAGCGCCGAATGGATGTCCGTGGGTTTGTGCCGCCGCTCAGGACGGGCCTCCCGGGCCTCCAGACTCGACTCGGCCTCGAGTCTGGGCGCTCTTCCTTTGCGCCCTGGCTCCCGCCGTCACCGCCGTAGTTACAGAGCGGCGCGGCGTTTGGAGGGGTGGGAATGCCTTTACTGCCCATTCTTAAAAAGTTTCGACCTCGCGCCCCACCCCCGGCACGTGCGTAGGCCGTCAACTCAAAGAAGTGCAAGTCGCTAAGAACGGGGCCTTCCATTGACGGTGAGCACGAGTCTCTGTAGCTGTAACCGAGCCCTCCAAAAATTATATACAATAAACAGAAATCCGGATCATAAACAGGAAAAGCATTCGGCTTATTCTCGGGTGAAGGGAACCAAAAACCTAAAAATTCCAAAGGTATCTCATTGAGGACGGCCATTCTTGGCTACTCAGAAGGAAGGCCATCCTTCCCCCCCCCCAACGCTCGCCTTAACTCTTTTCCGAATGGCCTTCTCTGCTATAATACTAAAATATTAAAATACTAATACTTGGGGGGTCTTATCTCCTCATCCCAAAATATGCCACCACCGTTGGCTTCTCTCTCTCTCCCCCGCCCCCACCCCGGTGCCCCCTGGCCCCAATCCGGCTTACCTGTTGCGTGAAGGCAGCCTGGGGCGAGGAAGGCTGCTTGCTGGCGGTGCCCCCCAGCTGGCTGTCCGGCTTGCCTTCGCTGGCCAGCTCCTTCGTGTCGGTCTCTACCGGCGCGGCTGGGAGGGCGAAGCCTTCTTCGGCATCCGCCATGTTCCCGGCTGCTGTGACCCCCCCTCCACTGCCTGCAAGACACCGAAGGAAGGAGGAGGAGGAGAAAGAGAGAGAGAAAAGAGAGCTGGTGGGCGGGGGGTGGGGGTGGGGGACTAGGCCTGGACATTTTGTTCGCCCCGGTCTTTCCCCCCCCCTTTACCTCCCGGCCCCAAACTCTCCCCTCTCATCTCCCCCCCCACTCCAGTAAAAGCTCAAAAGGTTCACCGAGGATTGTTTGAGGCCCACGGACACGGCTTCTCCGATCGAATTCGAAGCGAGGCTTTGCCTTTCCCGAAATGAAAGCCGGCCCTTCCCGGCCCGACACAGCGCTCCGAAAGGACCCTCTTCCCGGCCTCCCCCCTCCTCCCCTTCCCCCCCCCCCACTGGCTGCCAGAGTCGCAGATATGCATAAAAGAACATTAGAGACTGGCACGATTGAAGTGGGGGGGGGCATCTTTGGGCTCGGACTCTCCAGCGCAAAATCCAACCCAATATACACGTGTGAACGTGGATGTGTGTAGAAACTCATTGGCCATCCTGCTGCTGCCGGTTCAAAATGAGAGTAGACCCACTGAGCCACTTCCTGACCGTTAAGTCAACACTGATTCGAAGGCGATGGAGTGAATGAGTCTACTCTCCTCGGGCTGTGGCAATAGAGCACCGTGACTTATTCCTGAGCAGACATTTATGCGGGGGTGGGGATGGGGAGATGCTCTCATATGATCTTCTTTTAAACGTCACAATATCGTGCCACAAATATGGATAACGGCAAGAAGAATAAGAAGGACAAACGCCACTAGCCCTACTTTAGGCGCCTGCATGCTGTCCTTATGCAAGGATGTCAGATGTTTCTCTAACAGAGTTTGCCTACCCTAATTCCCAAGGGGGCTCCTCTGTGGCCATCGACTGGGAAATAGCCCGGCCACTGAAAATCAATACTTCTGAAGACAAAAAGTACAGGATCGGGCTCTGCGGCTGCCTAAACGGAGCAGCCAGGCAGTACCTTTCAAGGAGTCAAACGATAGCCAGAATCGTGACCCAGACCTAAGTTGCCTTTCTTATTCCTGTCGTGCAAAATAAGGCTGCTCCTGAGCTTTGCCAAAAGACTGGGCATGCACTTTAAGACTTACACACAGACAGTCCAGACATACGAAGCATGGTGTCTAGCTGGCTAACTAGTTAGATTTACAATACTGTATATCTTTGCAACAGGTTTAAGATATATAATATTAGCTATGATTTATAAACATATAATGCAACAAAAAAGAGAGGGATCAGGGTGTCTGGTCTAGCAGTGTGTGTCTAATATATATCTCACATATATAACAGTATACTGTAATAGACATAGGTATGAGATATACGCACATGCAACAAACAGAGAGATTAGGACATGGGTGTGACACCTTCGTGTATGCTGCACCTTGTACACGTGCACAAATGGGGTCAAGCCACCGTCCCCTCAGAGTGCTAGGCAGATTTATCTAGAAGACACCCGGAAAGACTGAAGATGGGATTTTATTTTTCTGTCCTCCCGTTAGGAAGATGTTTCCACCCGAGGGCCTGTGGCTCAGGTTTTTACTGTTCATTACTTTGGAGCCTGTACATTTACATTTACATTTTGTTCAAAAAAAGAGAGAAGAACTCCTTGTGATAAAGCACACTCCTTTAAAGTTTATACATCTTCTGGCCACACACAAACAAATAGGGGAACTCCATGATTTGGGTGAGGAAAAGAAGTGTTGCTCCAACTAGAGATTGCCATGGAATAAAGTTTAGAGGGTAAAAGGCCATGGCTTTTTAAAAATAAAATAAAATAAAATAAAATAAAATAAAAAGTCCCCAAATAGACTTTCTATCAATAATATAACAAGAAAGAGTTTACAAAAAATGTGGGGGGGGGAATTTGAGAAAATTGACGCATATTCTCCTACAAAAATTGATCATTAGTTCTTTAAAATGTGGTATTTCGTGGCTTTTGCTTTGACCAAAAATTCTTTCAAAACAACATTTACTAACCATCAAATAGGAAAGAAGGAAGAAAGTAAATCCAGCAAAACCATTCAAAACTAATTTCATTTACCAAGAGATGGTGCATATCCGCTCAAAACTAATGTACCTTGAATTCAACAGGACTTACTCCAAAATAAATCTGTATACCACTGTAGTCTAAATCTATTTACAAGGAAGAAAGTATCATTAATTTTAGTAATGCTGTATTCCGGTTACTTTCTATGGAAAGTAAAGCCCTGATATCTCATTTAAAGAAATGGAATTTATTTCGTGTCATAGAATAAAATATTGGACAGACAGGATGCAATTCCATTTCTAAACCCGCACTTGGATTTTGTTTCATTGGAAAGTAAGGTAAATATTTCCTTATAATACACGAACGGCCCTAAGGGCTGTTTGAGTTTTTACATTCTTTCAAAGGAGGGGACTGTGTTTTTAAGAAGTCGCAATAAAAGACTTGTAGAGGAAACCAAACACAGCAAAACCAGGGGTTGAAACCAATTTCCAGAATATTATAGAATGGATCGGATGTTTATAAGAATTCAACTGCACTGTTCAATATGCCGAACCCTTTAAAAGGATTCTATTTTTAATAAAACAATTCTATTAAAGCAAAACATCGGACTTTTATTTTCATTAATTTTTATTGTTTCAGAATTCCTGACTTCTCGCCCTGTTGTCCACGGCTCTAACGTGGTGGGAGGGGAGAGGATAGCGCTGCACAGAGTAGAACCCTACAGTTTCAAGGGACAAGCCCGTCTCCCTTTCCTTGGATTTTCCCTCTCACGTCTGTGGGATAACTTACTCCCTACTAAAGGCTGGCCCTTTCGGGAGCAGCCGAGGTAATTTTCGGACAGACCTCAGGCGGGGTCAGCGGCTCGCCCACCTTGCCCCACAAAAGCTGGCCTTCAACGGGCAGTTACCGGGAGGTGGCGGTTTAGCGAAAGGGGAGCGAAGGTGGCGGCTTGTCTGGGGATGGAGGAGATGTGCCAGAGTTGGGGGGGGAGGCCGGGGGGGGGGGGAAAGCAAACGCCTCCTCCATTCCCCTAAAGCGGCCCGGGTCTGATCCTCCTCCTGCTGCTTTTTAAAAGCCTGCCGTAATCTTTTCTGCTCCTTCCTGCTCCCGGTCTCGTCCTCTTTCTTTCCTGCTCCGGGAAAAAGGGCAACGTTTGACCGAGTTTTCGTATAAAGGCACCCCACGTCAGCCGGGAGAGACCCGGAGAGAGCAGGAGAGCGCGTCTCTCCTCCAGCCGCAGCTGCTCTCTCGTTTCTCACTTCATTAAACAGAAGGGAGAAGGATTCCTTGAGGGAGAGAGAGAGTGAGAGAGAGAGAGAGAGAGAGAGAACTTATGGTCCTTGATTGGGAAGAGAGGTAACAGAGGAGAAAAATGAATGAGAACTGAGGTAGAGAGAGATAAAGAGTAAGGAGAAAGAAAGAGCAGGGAGAGAAAAAAGCAGCATTGACTTGAGGGAAATGAAAGGCTTTCTAACTGAGGCAAAATGGGTGCCATTGCTCAAGAGAACACGCAGCTGCATGGCTGGGCCTTGGGAATGGCCACCCCCTTTCCTTCTCCCCCCCTTTACACACACACACACACACACTGGTTTCCCTGTGGTCTCGGCTCCCCTTCCTGAAAGCCCAGCCTGGCTCCCGGCTGCGTCCACGGCAGAGAGGGGAATGGGGTTACCTTGGAGTTGCTCGGCTCCCCGCG